CTGTGACAAAGACTTCTAGTACTATGTTAAATAAGAGTGGCGAAAGTGGGCATCCCTGTCTTGTTCCTGTTCTTAAGGGAAATGCTTTTAGTTTTTGCCCATTGAGTATGACGTTGGCTATAGGTTTTTTATATATGGCCTCTATTATGTCAAGATATCATCCTTCTATTCCCACATTGCTGAGCGTTTTTATCAGAAATGGGTGCTGGATTTTGTCAAATGCTTTTTCAGCATCTATTGATAAGGTCATTTTTATCTTTCATTTTGTTTATGTGGTGTATCACATTTATTGATTTGTAAATATTGTACCATCCTTGCATCCCTGGGATGAATCCCACTTGGTCATGATGAATAATTTTTTTGATGTATTATTACTGGATTCAACTTGCTAATATTTTGTTAAGAATATTGGCATCTGTGTTCATCAGGGATATTGGCCTGTAGTTTTCTTTCTTTGTAGTGTCTTTAATTGGTTTTGGAATTAGGATTGTGCTGGCCTCATAAAATGAGTTTGGAAGTCTTCCCTCTTCTTGGATTTTTTTTGGAATAGTTTGAGGAGAGTGGGTGTTAGATCTTTGAATGTTCAGTAAAACTCCCCCATAAAACCCCCTGGGCCCAACCTTTTGTTTGCAGGGAGTTTGTTGATTACAGTCAGCCGTCGTTTATCACGGTTAATCAGTTCCAGACTCTACCACGATAAATGAATTCCCTTGAAGTAGGATTCTTTATTTATATACAGTCATCCCTCGCCACTTTGCGCTTCGACTTTCCTGGCTTCACTCTATCATGGTTTTTTCAAATACTTACTATACGCGATAGAGTGAAGCCAGGAAAGTCAAAGTACGAAGTGGCGAGGGATGACTGTACATCCTCAATTTTCTTAGTTGTTATTGATCTTTTCAAGTTTTCTATCTCTTCCCAGTTCAGTTTTGGGAGACTGTGTGTTTCTAGAAATAGGTCCACTTTGCCTAGATTGTCCAATTTATTGGCGTATAATTGTTCACAGTATGTTTTGATGATCCTTTGTATTTCTGTGGCGTCAGTTATTTCTTCTCCTCTTTTGTTTCTGATTTTCTTCATTTGGATCCTCTCTGTTTGTTTCTTGGTGAGTCTGGCTATGGGTCCATCAATCTTGTTTATCTTTTCAAAGAACCAGCTCGTTGTTTCATTGATCTTTTGAATAGTTTTTTTAGTCTCTATGTCGTTTATTTCTGCTCTGATCATTACTATTTCTTTTCTTCTGCTTGCTCCGGGTTTTTCTTTTTGTTTGCTTTCTAGTTCTTTAAGTCTGTACTGCCATGAACTTCCCTCTCAGCACTGCTTTCGTTGCGTCCCGTAGATTTTGTGTTGTTTTCTGTTTTCATTGGTTTCTAGGAAGTTTTAAATTTCTTCCTTGATCTCCTTGGTAACCTATTTGTTATTTAATAACATGATATTTAGCCTTCAAGTGTTTGAATATTTTTGTTGTATTTGATTTCTAGTTTCATGCCATTGTGATCAGAGAAGATGCTTGATATGATTTCAGTTTTCTTGAATTTGTAGAGACTTACTTTGTGTCCTAAAATGTGGTCTATCTTTGAGAATGTCCCTTGTGCACTTGGGAAGAATGTATATTCTGCAGCTTTAGGGTGAAATGTTCTCTAAATATCAATTAAGTCTAACTGATCTAGTTTGTCATTTAAGGACTGTGTCCCTGTTAATTTTTTGTCTAGAATATCTATCTAGTGGTGTCAGTGGGGTATTAAGTCACCCACTGTGATTGTATTGCTATTGATCTGTCCTTTGAAGTCTTCCAGAAGTTTTGAAATATATTTTGGTGCTCCTGTGTTTGGTGCATATATGTTTACCAAAATTATATCCCTTTGATGGATTGATCCCTTTAATATTATGCAGTGACCTTCTTTGTCTCTTATTATAGCCCTTGTTTTGAAGTCTATCTTATCAGATATGAGTATTGCTACACCATTTCCATTTGCTTGGAAAATTTTTTCCACCCCTTCACTTTCATCCTGTGTGAGTCATTTGTTGTGAGGTGGGTTGTTTTATGAGATAGATGTTTTATGTAGTCTTTGAATTTTAAAAATTTTAATAAATGTATTGAACTTAACAGAAATATTCCTGTATCCCTCTAGCAATGGGCAGCATTCAGGCAGAGAGTGGTCTTCCCCAAAGGAAGCAGAGATGGATTTGGATTGAAGCATATCTCGTTTCTTTCAAAGCGTATACATTTCCACTTAGTAGTCCTTGAGAACCTCCTCTGTGTCAGGCACTGTGCTAGTTAGTTGCCTTACGTGATGCATCATTTAAATCTCCAAACCATTTCACAAGGGAGGAAACTGAGGTGCAGGGAAATTAGTCCCTTACCCAGGGTCACACAATAAGTTGTGGAGACAGGGTTTATCCACACTGTGGTTTGCTTGAGCTAGAAGCTCACCTTTCCATCATGCTGTTTTCTACTCTTATTCCTCTGGCTGCTGTAGTCATGATTCAATAGAAAGTTTTGTTGTATGTGTGAACTCTATTCATTTCAAAAGTTTTAAAATGAGGATTTCCGAAGAGAGCTTTCTTTAAAAACCCTAGTCTGAGGTGAACTTCATTGTGGCTACTGAACAAAGGGAAAACCAAATTGGAGCGTGAAACATCATTTTCCATTTTGTCTTAAATAAAAATCCAAATTCCAGCATTTTCCACAGACATACTTGGCTTTTGACAGAAATGCTGAGTTGTAGAAGCACTTTTTGCCAGCAAAGATTTTTTAAAATTCACTTTCAGTTAATCAAGGAAGTGTTCTCGTTGTATAGAAATGAAAGCAGGGTCATCTCTGCCTGATGCCTGTTTCAAACATGTAAGAAGTGCAGTAGGAGCAAATGCCAGCCAAGGAGAGAGGGTGAGCAGGAGGGGCTTTGCGGCTTTCTAAAGCATCCCGAGTGAGTCAGCGCGGGTCTCCCTGCGGACGTTGGCGCGTGAGCTTTGAAGTCCCCCGATTCAGATTCCAGCGACCTCAGTGCCTTCAGAACCGCCACCATGACTTCCTCTGCCAACTCTCGTCCTTGCAGGTTTTACTGATGGGCCACCTTTAGGATTACTGGCTGCTGAAATAGAAGAAAAATACCTTAGGATTGGGAATTCAATTCCTGTGTCCTTAGTCTCCCCTCTTGCTCTATCACCCAACTGCTTTTTCTTGCACTATGGTTTTACATAGTCTCCTCCTTTTTAATGGGAGACATTCTGTGTCCTAGTAGATGATGAAATAAAGGTCTCCAACACAAACACGCCACAGACCAGTTAGAAGTAAGTCCTTGTCCTTTTGCTCTGGTTCGTTTTGGGTGTTTGACAAGTGAAATGAGGACCCACGATCCTGTCAAGAAATAATAATGTTTGTATAACTCATAGCTCGGAGCATTTGCAGGGTGTTATCTCATGGAATCCTATCAGAAACCCCTTATCCCCCACTATCCACTGAAGAAAGAGGGGAAAAGGGCTTGCCGAAGGTCACGAGGTGGGTGTTTCTTCAGCCCCCCAGCCTAGTGCTATTTCTCCCCCACACAGAGACATTCAAAGCATATTTTCTTCCCAGCCTAGCAAAATACATGAGAGAGTTTGGAGAAATGACTCCTTTGGTCATGGTGTATGAGGGAGTCACAATTTATGTAGCTACAGTTGCACATTGTGTCCCTTTGTCTGTCCACCTGTGAGGAAGGTGGAATGGGTGTATGTGGGTAGAATGATGAAACAGATATGTCGAGGCTCACCAAGCATGCACAGCTGGCCCATCTCTTGAACCCAGGTTCCCTAAGAACTAGCTCAGCTTCTCCCCACAATAAGTGATAACAAAAATAAGGTGGTCGCCCTGGCCAGTTTGGCTCAGCGGTTGGAGAGTTGGCCTGCGGACCAGAGAGTCCCAGGTTCAGTTCCCACTAAGCCCTAGTGGCTAGGGGCACGTACAAAATAAAATAAAATAAAATAAAATAAAATAAGGTGGCACTCAGCATTCTCAGTGCTTCCTTTTCAGAAGTGTCACACCGCTTTGCATGCTCAGGGTCCTCATGTCTTTCCTGAGAAGCCCTGTTTTATTTCACCCCAAAGCTCAGTCTTCAGGGTAGCTGGAATGCAGGACACCTGGTTGAATACCTAAAGGGTGGGGGAGTGGACCTGAGGAGAACAGGGGAGGGAATCGGGAGTGGGCAGAGCCTTGTCCCTCACTACCTTACTTGAAATCTCGAGGATCCATGAAGAGGAAGTATGGTCAGGCCCTCAGCATGAGAGGCTGATTTTCAGATTGAGGCAGGATGGTTCTCCTTTGAAAGGATAGGAAAGACTTTGTTCAACGTGAGTGAGTCATTTCTCCAATGTTCATTGTTGTGATTGACAAGATTCTAGAAAACCTAAGTCCCCAGTGGTCCATCTAAACAACACATAGGTACTCCTAAGTGTCGAGAGAAACCGGAGGAGTTATGAAAAGAACATGGACTTTGTCTCTGGGCAGGTGAGAGTTCAAACCCTTGGCACCCTTTCCTCACTTCTTGATCTCGATTCTTGACAGGTTCACTTCTTGCCTTGATTCTTTGTTTGCCTGTAAAATTAAGGTGACAATCCCTGCCAGTTCTAATTTGCAGAGTTATTTTAGGAACTAAGTACCCAAACTTCTGCATTAACTATAATATATTTTATAAATGGAAAGTGTCATTATTCCTTTCGGAAGAAATATCTTTGATCCTTAAGGGTACATACACCAAGCTTGCTGTCAGTTTCTTAAAGCATATGTGATGTGATCTTGAAAATGAGAACAGCTATGAATTGTATGTAATCCAAAAATAAAAGTAGAAGATGGAAGATAAAAATGGAAGATCCCATTTTTTTCCATTTTGGCATAAGTGAAAAAGTGATAATTTTAGCTTGGAGACAATCAATATGACTTTTTCCTTTGAACTTCCTTTTTGCTTCATTATTTTTGAGCTTTTGGACTTACATGTTGACTTTACCCTCTGCTTCCATTATAGGAAATTGATGGAAAATCCCTGCTATTGATGACAAGAAATGATGTATTGACAGGACTTCAGTTAAAATTGGGGCCTGCTCTGAAAATCTACGAGTACCATGTAAAGCCTCTGCAGTCGAAGCATTTAAAGAACAACTCTTCCTAGTACCATCACATCGGGGTCTCAGACCTCAAAAATACATAATGACATAATTTAGTTTCATGTGATGAAACTTTGTAAACAGAATACATACATGTGTATATGTAAAGAATTTCAACCAAATGAAACGTTATCCTATTGGATAGACTAGGCAACCCATCAGCTGGCCTGAATTCAGCTAGGAGGAGCGAGGAGAACAGGTGGGCAGCATGGTTTTCCTGGTGAGTTTGTCAAAGAGAGTAAAATAAATTAATGTTTGGCATGATTAGATACCCTTCCCCAGAAAAGCTTTGAAGTCACAAGGATTTTCTTCATTTCTTCATAGATGGCGTTCCCAAAATTCTTTTAAAATTGTAGTGGTGTGAGCATCTTTTGGTTAGACTTGGGGAAGGGCAGAAAAGAGAAAGGAATTGCTGTCTCCCTTGAATTCCTCTGCTCCTTAGAGCTTGTGTTATTGGGATGGACTTGCCGACACCCTTTTTTACAGAGGGTCCTCACTTGACCTTATTAAGGTTTCACTGGGATATGCTGCGATGTTGGAAATGAGCGTGTATCTTGGCCCCTTCAGAAGCAGACCCGTAGCTCTGAAAACAAAAACCGTGTTGTGTATTGGGGATATCCATCCATGTTCAGCTGGCTTTCACAGGGGGTAATGGTGTTTTCTGCATAGAATTGCGTTTAAATTGGTTCTTTGTTTCCGAAGAAAGCATTTTTTTCACTTTATGGTTGTATTTATAATAATTTGTTTCTGAAGAAATTTGCCAAGAGTTGCAGATCAAAAGGCCTTGTTACTAGTACAGAATATTTTTATATACATTCCTTCATGATGGTGTAATATTTTTTTAATTGCTCTGATGCTTTGTTTGATTCCTGGTTTGAGTACTTGTTTAAAGAACTTGAAGAAGTCAGCTTGCTACATCTCTGTTCAAAGAGACATTTGTTCAATCTCTGTGTGTCAACGCCTTGTTGGATTGGTGCTTCGTGGTTGCAATAAAGTTGCTTCAGTTTATTCCTGGTGTACGTTTGATTTCTTCTGCAATTAGGATTAAGCATTAAAGTTGCTCCTTAAAACCATGGTAAGTTAAACCTTAAAAAAAAATACTATATATATATATATATATATATATATATATATATATATGAGAAACATATAGATCTATATGTGGATTTAACTTCTTTAAAAATGAAATTGTCCAAGTGTGCTTTGTTCCTTCTCATCTCCACCCAACAACAGATTTTAGGTGTCCTTTCAGACAAAGTTTTTTTTCTTTTTTGCTGTAGGCCATTTGGGGTGTGGTCGTGATTTGGGAGGATATTCTGATGAAAATTATGGAACATTCTCCAGACAAATGCCCAAATTCCCACATACAAAAATTTGCAAAGTCGATGGATTCCCTGAAGTTCCTTCTTCCTTTTTCTCAAGTTAGGAATCACTATTTTAAAGAGTGTTACAGTTCAGTCCCCTCCTGCGGTCATTTTTCTAAAGAATACAGAAAGTCTGAAGATGAGAGTGAAAAACATAGCAAATGTTAGTGTGAGTGCGGTTCAAGATACATTCCAACTTAATTGGAATATGGACTTTATGGAGTATCTGAAATTTAAGGAATGCTTTCTTTTACACTTTAAATGGGAGAGAGCGTCACAACAGAGACATTTTCTATCCCAAGTTCTCAGTCTGCCTGAGACACCAACCAGAAGCATAAGAGTGAAAGGCAGAACACAGTTAGCATTGTGGAGAGAGGGTGGTGACAGAGAGGTGTACCTGCGGAGACCTCGGCGGGAAAGGAGGAGCAGGAGCTCGGGCAGGAGGGAGATGGAATGCGGAACTTGGTTACCTTCCTGCGGAGTTCCCCACAAGGGAAATGGTGATGACGTTCGAACCCTCTACCTCAAGGTGATGGCGTGAGGAATGTCCAGGCGCTGCTTCGGTGCATCCACCTGACACCTCTCTCAGCGCAGACTAGGGCTTGGCTGTGAGTGATGAAAACTGCCTCCCCTGCTCTTACCCCACCTGGACAGGTAATGTAAACAAAATAGAAGCTTGCTTCTCTTCGTGTAAATGTCCAGATAGGGGACAGGCATTCCTTGGTATGCCCTCCCATGACGTTAGGGACACAAACTCTGCCTTTCTTTTTGCTCTATTATGCATGATACTCATTCCTAGAATTTCACAGCCCAGAATGGCTGCTTCGTCTCTGGCCATCACTGCTTAAATTCCAACCAGTGGGAAGACAAAAAGGGGAAAGGTATATACTTCCTTTCTTTAAGGATGTTTCCAGAAATTGTACTTAATACTTCCTCTTATATCTTGCTGTCAAGATTCAGTCACATTGCCATAACAAAGCTGCAAGGGAGGCCTGAAATATTTCTTCTGAGAGACCACGGGCTCAATTAACATTCAAAAGTTTTATTCAATTTAATTTTATTAATTTTATTCAATATAAAATTATTCTATAGATAAAGGAGAAAGAGTATTAGGGGATGATTACTGTCCTCAGTCAGCTGGCCGTTGAACACTCTGGACAAGTGACACTGAAAGTGTGTCCTTAGTTGTACTTTTCTCTAGATTTGAACTTGAGCTCATACTCCTGGATGGTTTTTTATCACATTCACCTTTCACAACTATTGGAAATTTTGTTCACTAATCCCAACCTAACTCAATGAAGCTTTAGACCTGTACTGCTCTATAGATGCCTGTCAGAAAGGGGGTGAGGGGAGGAAAGTAAAATATCTTAATAGAAATGCAAACTATTGCCCACATTCCTCTCCGGGCACGCAGATCCATGGCTTCAGCCACAAAACCATGTGTCTGGGGGTAGATACAGAGACCTAGCGTCCTACTGCCCAGGACTGCATTTCTGCACTAAATCCCCTATTGAACTCATTAACCGACAGGCTGGACTGCCTGCCTCATCCTTTGGTCTCTCGGCTCCTTTGGTGTTTTGAGGTCATTTTGCATTTACAGCCCTCTCTCAAAATGACTATTAACACCATCAATGTGAAGACAACTTGATAAACTACATATTTTTAAAAATTAAATGATAGAGAAAATTGCGAACCTTGATGTCAGCTAGGAAATGCGGATTCTGAGGTCACGAGATGACAGTGGGATATTTTGCAGAGAAATACTGATGTGGAAAGATTGGTCCATGTAAAAGATTGCATGAAAGATTCCTTCCAGTGGGCCTCAGAAGAATGCCTTCTGTCTTGGAAATGGTAGGGTGCAGAATTCTCATCCCTAACCCCGATGAGTTGTGGAGAGCAGCAGAGTCAGAACGCAGGCATCAGAACAGGCTGAACCGGATGTAGGATTTGGTACTTGGCCTTCTATTTATTTATCATATGAAACAAGTGATAGAAGTTCATTCATCTCCATTACCGTTCTAGTTTGTATTCGCTCCTTGGCTCTCTTGTTTTCTTTTATCACCACCAGAGCATTCACCATACCTACAATAAATTAGTATTTAACCAATAAAAAAAAGGAAGGAAGGAAGGGAGGGAGAGAGAGAGAAAGAGGAAGGAAGGAAGGAAGGAAGGAAGGAAGGAAGGAAGGAAGGAAGGAAGGAAGGAAGGAAGGAAGGAAGGAAGGAGAGAGAAAGAGAGAGAGAGAGAAAGAAAGAAGAAAAGAAAAGAAAAAAGAAAAGAGAGAAAAAAGCAAACAGGAAAGGATCAAATCATTCCTCAGCCTCTGTTGACAGCTTTCAGGCTAAATTGGCAAATTAGAGTCCGCCTTTCTTCCACCCAGAGCGAAGGCCTATGACAGGCAAGTCCGAGTGCCTTGGCAATACCTGAAGCTGCGTTCCTTCCCTCCCCTGACCACCCCCAGTCACAGGGAAAAGCAGTGTGATCACAATCGGCCACAGAGAGTGGCTGGAAGTACTTGAAATTCAGCAGGTAGGCAGCCTTTGTCTCCAGAAAGCAGTAAAACCACAGACGTCTGAGTCCTTTTCAGATCACACTGGATTTCTATCAATGTGATCTGGGTCTGCAACTAGTATAGCAAATACACATGCCACGCGGGGAAGCACTTTCCCAGTGTAGGTGGGAACGAGCATGGCTTGATGCCAACGGATTTTATGTGAGACCTGTTTAATGTTGAATTTGATTATTTTCAACCACAGGGGCCCAGAGGATATCAGAACCACAACGGAGTCTAAAAAGTAATTGCCACTCTACCTCCTCTCCCCATCCGACATTTGAACCTCCATGATTCATACTCTAGAAACGACATTTAATGAAGTGATTTAAAGGCACGGTCACAAACGGGTCGCTTTTCAGTGGAATCTAAGCTGACATGCTTTCCTTTGGCCAGTGAAGAATGAGCATGTTTTTACAACTTCATCTGCACTCCTCTGGGTGAGGCTGAATGCTCCCATTTATAGCAATCTTTTAATTCTCTAATATTTTGCAACCAGCAAGTGCACACTTTTACATTAACTGTCTGGACCCTGAAGGTATAATGAAATTTAGACTCCTGATCTAAAGCAAAGAGCATACAGAGAGCCTCCTGAGAGTAAGTTAATTCAGGAACTGGAGATTGCAAGCAGATCTGGTTGAAAACGATCTGGCATATTGCATTGGAATGTGCAGCAGATATAAGCACCATTTTTTGATGCTTAGTGGACCTGATGAAAAAGAGACCAACTACTGGCAATCTCATCGTTCTGTCCTCAGCTAATATCCCATGTGAGCATGGATTTTGTCCTCCTGAGCTTAGTATACCCTGTCAGGGGCACACGCTGTGCTTCCATTGCATTAGTGAAATATATCTGTGGAAGAATTTAATTTGGACAAGTCTAATGACCCACAGTTGCTCAGCCGCTCCCATATTTGGAAGCTGAACGCAAAAAGTACTTACTGGTGGTGATCCATCTGCCTTTGACGGTCATTGCAAATGGGATCTGCAGGGGTCAGGTCTGGGCCCAGAGCCATTAAGTGTTTTCTGTAATGATTTGGAGGACGAAGTTAAACAGTCAAAGAGCTGACTGCAGTAGGACAGATATGCTTCTTAGGAGAAAACTTGTTAATTCTGCTTCTAAACCAGGAATGGAAGCCACAGGAAGGAGGGAGAGGGCTTTGGGTGCATTAATGAGCAGCTCGTTAGCTTCATGCTGTAGCTCCATAGGCAATTAAATAGTTTGGGTAGCATTTCTGGCCAGTGGTTGCAGCAGTTCTCCAGAGAGAAAAAGAGATTAAAACGTCACATCCAAGTTCGTTTGGTGACTGTGGCTGTCTTGTATCTCTGTGCACCTCAAGAGAAGAGTTGTGTCTGGCCTATACCAGGGCAGAATAACGGGGGAGCCTGTGAGTAAGGCGAGAGGAGTCTTTGATCACCCACACGTAGGTAGCTATATTCATTAATGTTTGTTTACCTCAGTTAGGCAGGGTGTTCCTGTCAACAGTTGTCTCTAGGGGGAAATCAGGAAAGCTGGGGATGTCAGGCAATCTCCAAACAGAAAATGTGCCCCTCCTCCATAGAACAAGTACATGGGCAGACTACCACCTTTATCATAGCACAGGCGGAAAGAGGTCAGTGAGTAAGTGTAAATAACACCGAACATACTTATTACCTATGGAGCAGGCCACGGCCCCGGGCAGCCAGATCTATAAACAAGATAAGGGAACATGTACCACAGGATAGCACATGCTGTCACCTAGGTAGCACCCATGGGACATTTTAGGTCACAGAGCTTAGAGGCCGTAAGCTTCCAGAAAAGCCAGGTAATGCCACCAAGGAGAGATCTGCCCCAGGGGTCCCCGGCTCTGTCAGCTGTGGGACATGTCTATGGCAAAGCTTTCAAGTTGAAATGTCTTCTTTCTGAATTAAAGGTGGCCGAATCATTCCATCAATTGTGTTTCATTTTGAGGAAAACTCAGTAAAACTCTTCAAACAGCCAGCATTTCCTGCCATTAAGAATCAGTGTTTGGGACAGTGGTCTCTCTCCGGTGCCTGGAGTCGGGAACAGCAGAGGGTACACTGTGCGGCAGTGGGTAGAGCCGCGGGCGCTG